TACAAGGATCCAGCGGATGGGATATAGGGAAGACTCTGCAGCACAGCCTCTCGCCAGGAAAAAATCTTCAACGGCAGACACCCCTCCAACAACCTGGGTGGCCGTTACATTAGCCATAGGGGTAGAGACTAATTCTAATACACGCAGGAAACCAACAGCCCTTATGGCTGTGACTGCCCCAATAGCTGCCAGCAAGTAGAATGCTGGAACTGTGGGGGAAAGGGACACATCACAAGAAACTGTAAATGTCCTCCTCGCATCAAACCTGACAGTCAGAATGCAGCAGCCGCCCTTCCACCTCCCCCTCCTTCACAAGATACTGCTGCTTCCACATAGGAAATTGACAACCCAGTGTCCCTGCACGCTTTAACTATTCCTGACATAGCTGGACCCTCTCCCACTGTTAATGTTACATTACCAGGTGATAGAATAGTCCAATTTCTGCTACACACCGGGGCAGTCCGATCTGTTGTGCAGGAGAAATATATCTTTCCCTATGACAAAATCTGTTCATGTGTTCCATGATTCTACTTCTCTTGTTACCAGATTGATTGTCAGCCCTAATGCCCCTCTTAATTTGCTAGGCAGTGATGTTTTGTCTGCTTTTAATGCCAACATACAGTTCAGTCCCACTGGTAATGTGACTTTGACTTTGCCCCTTGAAGATAACTGTCTCATACCACTTGCCAATGTGCTGGCAAATCTTAACTTGTCCAACCCTGTGACAGAACCTATAATTGACTTGACCTCAGTATCCAACTGTCTATGAGCAACAGGGAAGACAGACACAGGCAGATTCTCTGTGCCCCCAGTCAAAGTGACTCTGTGACAAACTGAACCTCGTCACGGGTTCTTGGAGGGGCCTGCTGGCCAGCCTATTGCCTCAGGACTATGGGCCCTGCAATATACCTTGCCAAATGCAATTTAAAAGGCTCTGTTCATGTGAGGTATGTACTTCTGTATTCCAGACAGAGGGACCGATAGTCAGCCCTAATTCTCTGGAACTGTTTTGGGCATGGGACTAGGCATGGGACCGTGCGAGCGGTCGGTCAAAATTAAGATTTCTAGGAAATTCCTGAACCCCAGAACTGATCTGGGTGATTTGGGATATGTTGGTCATGCAGATCAGGGCTATCAGGAGGGGTGAACTTTTTATGTATTTTTAGGGTACATTTGGGGTGTTTGGGAAAAAGTTTTTTTTTTTTCTGTGCTTGGAGATAATTGGATGAGATTAGTACAGTCCCTGATCCAATTATTTCCCAGGCACAGGGGAGGGATTATCTGTTTATGTATGGGAGTGTCCTGGACCTGAGAGCCAATGTGATTGTGTATTTATTTCTGCTGTGGTTTACTCTCAGGTCCAAGGGGGAGTGCCCCTTGCATGGGGACTGTCATAAAAGACCAGTTGTGGCTGCCATTACAGTGAGATTCATTTTACCTTTCATGAAGTCTAGGCTCATGTTTGGGGGATTGGAAAGCTATATTAACACTCTGGGGATTGCTATAATCACTATACTCCCTTGGATCACAACACTTGCCCTTATAAGAGCAGCCTGCTTCGCTCTCTGGAGTAGGAGAGGTCTATCCACTGGAAGCTGGATCCTGGTCTTGGGTGGGTGGAGGATAGCGAGACCCCAACCAAGCTGCGGCTGTTTGTGGAGTTTACTGTGGTTATGGTGTTCCAGTGCAGTGCTTATGGTGTTCACGAGTACTAGGAAGCAGCAATTGACAGAGGTACCCGGTCGGGGTGCCTGGCAGTCCATCACAGACTATCCTACCGGAAGTCACCCCTCCCTGTTAGAAACAGTATCCCCTTAGCCCAGCACAAGATGACGCCATTTCTCAGTCCTACCAGGACTTATTGCAGGCAGGTATAATTGTCCCAATAACCTCCACTTGTAATACCCCCTTGTATCCCGTCAGAACGAAATAACAGAAGGGGAAACCAGTAGTATACCATATGGTACACAATTTAAGGGGAATAAATGCAGTGACCGAACTAATTGCCCCAAATGTCCCCATCCCTCATACACTGTTTTCACAGACTGGACCTTCTTCTAAGGTGTTTACTGTCATTGACTTGGCAAATGCATTTTTCTCTGTTCCCTTGCACCCAGACAGTCAATTCCTTTTTGCATTTACACATAAACACAAATAATACACATGGACTGTATGACCCCAGGGTGCACAAAATTCACCTACTATGTACAGCATGGCAATGACATAATTTTAGAATCCTGGCCAAGGGTAGATGATGTTTTATTACAATATGTTGATGATTTGTTGTTATGTACAGAGCACACCTTGTCTTTATTACATTTTCTAACGCAAGCAGGGTGCAAAGCTACCAGGCCAAACTGCAGTCATGTGTTCCCACTGTTATCTTTTAGGACACTGTATCCCTCATGCTGCAAAACATCTCATAAAAGACAGGAAAAATCCTTTTCAACAAATTAACCCTCCATGCAGCCTAGTCCTGCTATGTACATTTTTGGGTCTAGTCTCCTATTGTCGCCCTTGGCTTCGCTCTGCAGCAATCTACATGCAGCCCTAGTATGATTGCCTCACCATGAACCCTTTCATTTAACTCCTGAAGCAGAGGAAGCCTTTTGCACCCTTAAGTTGCTTGTCAAACCAGCCCCGGTCTCCCAGATTACAGAAAACCCTTCACCCTGTTTTGCACCGAGCAGGCTGGTTAGGCAACAGCTGTCCTATCTCAGGACCACGGTGGGAAACAGAGACCCATTGCCTATTACTCCACCAGGTTGGACCCTGTTGCCAGAGGTGCTCCTTCCTATGTAATAGCAGTAGCTGCTGTTATTGCCCTACTGGACAAAGGCACCGATATTGTCCTAGATAACCCTGTGACAATTTACACCCCGCATGACATTAACAGCATTTAGTAAAAAAAGAAGAAAAAACCAAAGGTACAAAGCAGTGTAAATCACCAAAGTGACAAAGAATAATAAATATATACCAACTGAGTATGTAGAAATATTCTTTCTTAGAAATATATCTGAAAATACATAAAAACTATATAGTGTAATATTGTTACTTCTAAATAGAAGCAAAAATGGTAGAAAACTCACAAAATTAGGTGAAATCAGGCGTATCTCCCAAAATAGGGAACTGTGGCAATATGAAGAACCTCCAGCGATGATCTTATAGTAGATCTTCTCATTCACTCCAAGTAAAGAGAAAAATAGATAGTGTAGATGGTACAAAATGTAACAATTTATTATAAATAAGTTGCACTTACAATGTTGCAAGTTAAAACCAGCGTGTCTCCACACCAAGTGGTGTCCACATGCAATAGTTGATCTAATAACAGCACAGGATTTCAGACAGCAGCAAAAGAATAAAGAGTACAGATGGACAATAAAATAAATAAAATAAAAAGTTCCAACGTGTTTGTAATACTAATAAGAATGAGAATCCTCTTTTATATCCACCGTTAAATTGATGAATCATTCGCCGGTGTCGGCGTGCGTTCCACTGTGGAACGCATTCTGCTTCCGCATGACGTCACTTCCGGTTTCGCGGACTCAATATGGAACAGCAGTTCTTGAAACGGCATTGACAATTGCAGCTGAGAAAACTCTCTCCTCACTAATGTATTGTTTCCACAACAGTTCAAGGCCACAATTACACTCAAAATATACATATAATACAATGATCACCATAGGGATGAAAGAGTGTCAACAATGGAAATATTGTAAATAGTACACAATATAAATATTAAAAAATATATATATATATTTCTCACAACCTAATTCATATCAATTTATATTACCAAAAAGTAATATAAAAAAGAGAAATATAAAAAATAATACAAAACACTTTATCAAATCCATTTGTTGTCACTCTCCATCTCTTTACAAAAACATATCCCTTTATATAAAGAACTGTAATATACAATATTATATAAAAATAACAGACATTTTGTATATATTATTAAACTATTAAATGTATTGGAAAAATTATATAGGAGAAAATTCTTTTTATCAGAGAAAATTTCTGAAATTAGAAGACAAATATTAATAATCAAGTATAGACCAATCAAAAAATATATATAAAAAATATATATAAAAAAAATATATAAAAAATATAATAATGAAAAATGAAAAATGAAAAATATAATAATGAAATATAATATAATAA